CCGGCGCTCGTCGACATTAAAAGATGTTTTTTAATTGTTTTTTAATCTCCCTGCCCACTGGAGCTGACGTCACGCTCCGAGACGACTGGTGTTTTGGTTAAAGTGTGTGATGAAGCTAAGTGAGCGTGTTTCCTGGCTGGATGTCGGTGTGAACCTGCCCTCCTTTGGTCCGTCCACATGTGGGACCGTCGCCCGGTGTGGTCCCTCTCCTGCCCTCCATCCCTCTCTCCCCTGTTGCTCATCGGTCGCCTGGCAACCAGATTAAATATAGGCCCACACTCTCCAAACTTTCCATCCTCTCCATCCAAAGCCTTTTCTGTCTTCTCCACTATGCTTTCTCTCTCCTTTGTCCCCCCTCCTCCTCCTCCTCCTCTTCTCCCTGTCTCTCTCTCTCTCTCCTTCCCTTTGCCAATTCCCCACGGTGGGGACTTAAGGGATTTCGGATGAAGAAATGGAAAACATTCCTCAAACAGCACAAGCTGCTGTTGTCGAAGGCGACCTCCACAATGAGTCACTTGATGACCCAGTGAAGGAGTCTGTGCACCCTTCGTAACGCGCCGGGTGCTAGAAGCGCCCTCTGTTCATTCATTCGGCTCGGAGCACCCACTTTGACGAGACGGCTCCCCCTGCGCTGCGAGGGAACGCTGCAGCCGCTGCCTCTGTTAATCCACGAGCCTCGTCTCTGGGCCTTAAAATGACCGTGGTTTTTTTGTGTGTTTTTTTCCCAACTTACTACCAGACTAATTATCTCATATTGTGGCGGAGGGCGGAGACTTGAAGCAGCTTTGTGATTAGTTGATTTAGCCCAAAAGCAAAGCCTCTTACAGTAGGTGGGTTAAGCCGGCCTGATGGACGTGGTTCTACACACACTTAGTGACGACCTGCAGAGTAACTGTGGTCAATGATTGTCGGGGAAACGCTGTCACATCAGGGAGTGCAGATCAGCTGTTAGTGATGACACCCGACAGAGAAACCTTGTTTGGTAGTTTCACATACGAAGCAGGACGATAAGAGTACATAAAGGTTGGTTTATATAGTTTATAGTGGCAGGAATACAGAGAATATAAAAACATTTTAAGGTCAGGTACCGAAGGCTTTTAATTACTACAGAGCTTTCTTTCTTTCTTTCTTTCTTTCTTTCTTTCTTTCTTTCTTTCTTTCTTTCTTTCTACAAAATGAAACAATATATTAATGAATCATAATGTATTTTTATTTTATTGTTACAAACCAACAGAACTTAAAAATATATAACACATAAAATATAGATATTTCTCAAATGTGGACAAGTAAGAAACAAACTGTCTCAGATTGTGTGGCCGCGGTGTTTCGCCCTGTTAGAGAGAGTTAGTTGTGTGTTATTGATTGTTGCGTTATAAAGTTATAACCATAAATAAGAAGGTGTGTAGTTCACCTGTAACCTGCTCGGCAGCTTTCTCCAACCGTAGAGCTCTGAGCAACACAAACATGGTGACAGCTCTCAGTCAGTACGGTGGTACATGAAAGAGTCATCGTGTACAGGGATCAAACCGGTTCACCAGTTCATCTGATTTATGGCAGGTTAATGAACTCCTGTGTGTATCAGTAGAGAACCACTAATATCTTTGTTATTACACTCGATTAAACAGTGTTTTGTTTTATTTTATCGATGCCAGCAGCTCCAGGGATGGAAACGACTTTGGTCCAGACTGAAATATCTCAACAAGTAGTCGAAGTTGTTGTTTTATAGACATTCAAGTTCTCCAGAGGATGAATCATACTGACTTTGGTGATCTACAGATTAACATGTACTGTTTTTATCTACATGTTTTACTATTTTCCAGACAAAAGAAACAATATGATGACTTTACCTTTAGTAAAGAGGAACAGTAATATGTGGTTTTACTTCTTATTTGTTTTAGTGTTAGTTGCTAATGAACACTGCCCCTGTTGTAGATTATTGCCCTCTATACAAAGGACCTTACTTTAACACCAGAGCAGAGATCTGCCTCGTTCTGTCTTGTTTCAGCGTTAACACTTATTCCTCTTCTTGAATTGAGTTTTGTTCTTTTAAATATTAGCTGAAACTAAAGCAACATATCGTAACATAACCCCATGAGATCCTCACAGGATTCGTCTCGGGACTTTTCTTGTAAGTTAGACCTCGCCTCAGGAAAAGCAGATAAATAGATTTGCTGTTTCGCTTGTGCCGCAAAATGTTTTGGAAAGTACTTGAGGCTTTTAGCACCCCACTTAACAGAAAGTCATTACAACAAGTAGACACAGTAGTCATTGTTTGAGCCGCAGTGCTTTAGTTTCTGGAAGTGACTGCAGTTTGCAGACAAACCACAACGAAGTGGGTCAAAGACCTTCTCTACTGTACCCAAACTGGACCCTCGCTGACGTCTTCGTTCTGGTTTCTTCTCTTTTTTTTAACGTGCGTAGTGCGGATTCTCATAATAAACGATATAAACAATAAACACTTGTATGTATAGCGACCCGTCGTGTGTCTGTGTGTCCTCTGGCAGGCCTGCATTGATGAAAATGCTGAGATGGTGCAGTTTCTGGTGGAGAGCGGGAGTGACGTCAACAGAGGGGACAACGAGGGCTGGACTCCTCTGCACGCTGCAGCCTCCTGTGGCTTCATCCAGATCGCTAAGTGAGTGTTGACCGTTTCCACTGGATACTGTAATAAACAGTGACACTGATGTCAGGTTAAACTAACATATCAGGCTATATTCTGGATTTAGTGTCTCCGTATGTTGATTCTGTTTCTGAAGATACCTGATAGAGCACGGCGCTCATGTCGGGGCGGTGAACAGTGAAGGAGAACTTCCTCTGGACGTGGCCACAGAAGACGCCATGGAGAGACTTCTCAAAGGTGAAATCAAAAAGCAAGGTGAGGAATCGCTCCGTACCAACATTAACAACATTAACACCTCCACCTTCAAGTCCAACGTCAATCTTGTCTCCAGTTGAGACATGGCTGTGCGTTTGATCTTCAGGACAGTCTCACATTAAGTTACATAAACACTAATGTGGAAAGTCAAGGCTGCATGACGACAACAGTTACAGTTATTGATTGTAATTATAATATAATTATCTGCATTTAAAGACACAATGACATAAATAAAATGTCACTAAATGTTGGAAAAGGTAAAGAGTTGAATAATGAGAGGAGATGAAAGTCTTTTGACACTGAATTATAGAACTAATTGTATTATTTATTGATGTATTCAGTTATAACCTTTTACTGCCTTTCATCAGTTCCACAACTGATATTTTACTTATTTATAGAGCTACATTTATTTTACTATATTCTGACCTTTGCGACCAACACTTTGACAGACAGCACGCTTCTCTATCAGAAATAATATGTTATAATGTTGTTAATTTCACTGAATGGTCTTTTAAACACACAGTGTGTCTGTACATCAGGTAGCAGACACAAATGTCAGCTTCAAGGAGGCTGCTGCTGTTGTGAGCACAGTGTAGATGATGAGCTGCTTTTAGGTACTTTACTTTATTTTCCCTGTGGTTTGAATGAGCGGTTCTCAACAGATTTAGCACTAGATTTCACTTCAGAAATGATACAGAGCTAAAACTAACTAAAACCCTTCTCATGAATGTGTAGCCTCAAAACTCGATTTGCATTTTTGTCCTGTTTTTACCGGCGGTCACATTTAAAGCACACGACTCGCTCTGAGCGGACAGAAATAGGAAAAGAAATGAGGACAGCGTCACTGTGTACCAAATGTTCTGTGACCTTAGCACCGAAGTGCACTGAGGCTCCGGGCGTGCGTCTTTATCAGTGTCGAATACACACACTATAGCGATCCATCGTGTAACTGATCACAGGTGACGAAAAACATAAATGAATATGAAACTGAATATTCTGTTTTTGTGTTATAGATTCAACTGAGAAGTGATTTCTTTAGTTTTCAAAGGTCTAAAATCTGTTTGTTCGCGTGTGCTCACGTCACAGGTATAGACGTGGACATGGCGAGGAAGGAGGAGGAGAGGATCATGCTCCAGGACGCCATGGCGGTGCTGGCAGGAGGCGGCAGTCTCACACCTCACCCGAACACCAAGGCAACCGCTCTGCACGTCGCCGCTGCCAAAGGCTACATCGAAGTCCTGAAGTGAGCATCAGTCCGCACACATGAGAGCAATGACAGCTTGTTAGCGTTTGTCTCATTTGGAGTCAAAACATTTTTTTATTCATAGCCTCCTGGATATTCCCTTCATCTTCTCTTCCTCTTCTTTGTTTCCCTTCCTCCCCTCTCCCTCGCCTCGTTCAGGGTGCTGTTGCAGTGTGATGTGGATGTGGACGGCAGGGACACTGACGGGTGGTCGCCCCTGCATGCCGCAGCTCACTGGGGGCAGGAGGAGGTGTGCGCCCTGCTCGCTGACAACATGTGCGATATGGGGGCCGTCAACAACGTGGTGAGGGCGAGGCGAACAACTTTTAACTTGGCATCAACTCTTGTGATTGAAGCCTCTACTTGTGCTATGACTGATGAAGCACTGTGAATGTCCTTGTAGGGCCAAACACCTCTAGATGTTGCGGATGAGAACCTCGCGGACACTCTGGAGGAGCTACAGAAGAAACAGAACGCCGTGAGTCTAGCCTTCTCACAGGCTCCACCGCGATCTCACTCAGTTAGATAAACCTGATATGATTGATAGCGATACAGCGGCGAATGTTCTCTGTGTTTATGTGTGTTTATATTTCTCTTCAGTTACGCAGCGAGAAAGAGAAACAGACTCCTGTTATTGAGACCAGCCCGCAAATCTCCATGGTACCAGTTCGCACACGCAGGTCAGTGCCAGTACGTTGGTGTGTGGGCATGCTTTTGTGTGTGTGTGTGTGTGTGTGTGTGTGTGTGTGTGTGGGCACACGCTACGCTGTCCCTCAGCTGAATCCCAGTAATCCCAGTACCAGTAGTTTGCATGCAGGTATGTTGTTAACAATCCCAGCATTCCTTTGACCCATGTTACTTCTACCCACTGACGTTACACTGGGTGGAGGTCGCGGTCAGTGACAGTCTGTGTCCCAGGTTCATACTGAATGCTAACTGGAACTGTTTTCAGTGTGTAATGTGCACATACTGGAGGAATGAATATAATATAATAAAGTGTAAAATACTTAAATTCAGTGTGATTTTAATGGACACTTTAGAGAGAGAGAGAGAAACTCTGTCTCACTAACAGTAAAAGGAAAATGTATAACTAAAAAAACTAAAATAATATGATAAAATAAACTAAAATAACTTTTGGAAGAGTATTTATAACTCGGTCTTTGCCTGGAAAAATATATTGCAAAATAGTTAATGGTTAAAGTAAGAAGAGTCATAGTTTATGGCTCATTAATGTTAACATTGCTCAATACACCCACAGATGATACAGTGATAGTTACCTCTGATAACAACATAACATTGTGCCAAAATAGTCCACTTTGTAATTAAAGTGTAATCAGAGTGCTGTAGTATACAGTACGCAGTTGGGACACATATTGTTTCGTCCCTGTGGGTTTGTGTAAAGTTTGCCTTATCACATACCAAAGATTGTAAAACACGTACGATAAGTGATGAAGTAAAAAGCTGCTGGTTGACATTACGTAACCAGTGATAAGACACACGGCATCACAGGAAGTGACCCACTGTTCCACTCACTGACGTGTTGCATGCTCGCTCTAATTGGCTGCACATGGAATGATTGCCCTCACTGATCAGCTCCCTGCATGCCACCTGTTGTTCCACCCCACCTTGGCCCCGCCCCTGCAGGACTTCTATCTCTCGTATGAGCAGCAAGGAGAAGATCTGCCTCCACGAGCGCGAGAAGCACCCGCCCCCCGCCCTGCCGAGCAGCCCGGCCGAGGATGAGGAGGAGGAAGGTCAGACGGGACAGAGCCAGTCTCAGAGCCAGTCTCAGAGCCAGGGGAAGGCCTCCAGCAGCTCCAGCTCGGAGGAGGAGAGCGAATCGGAGAGCGACGCAGAGTCAGGTAGGAGAAGCTGCTGCTGAGAGAGACAGATTGTATTTCACGTGTTTTATCAGACGGGTTTCATGACCTTCTTCTTATGATCTTACTCGTGATTTATTAATTGCTCACTTTTGCTCCGTTGCAGAGAAAGCAAAAAACCGAGAGATCATAAACAACTTGAACAACAAACGCAACGCCACCAGCCTTCTTCCTACCTCCATGTCAACGAGTACTGCTGCAAGCCAAGTGAAAAAGGTCAAATACGTAGAGATATTAAACAGAGATCATAAAGTGTCAACAGCACTGAACAATAAAGATGATGACTTTTACTGCCTCTGTCCCAGGACCCAAGCAAGCCCCCAACCACTGAGGCCCCGGGCTCCTGGAGAACGTCTCTGAGGAAGGCAGGCAGCTCGGTGACTCTGGGCTCAGCTGGACTGTCAGACTCCAGCCAGGACCCCAGCAGACCTCCAGAGACTGCCCTGGGTATGACCCGCTCTGCTTCCAGCCCCCGCCTCAGCTCTGAGGCCGACACCAAGGTACGCACCGCTGGCGCTCACATGATTCGAGGATCTCTACACTCGTGAAACTATGAAAGCTATCGTTATATAAATCTAACGTGATTTCAAATAAAGAAAGGCTCCTTTCACAGCTTCCATTCGCTGATTCACATAAACTTATCTCGCCCCTCGTTCTCAGGAGCCGAGGCTCGCCCGGGTACCGCCCATCCCGACGCGGAGACTCGTCAGTATTCCCGACAGCAGCACTGACAACTCCAACAGGTGGGCCTGTGCTCATATGTGCTTCTGCGCTTGTGAAACTAGAATCTGTTTTTCTGAGTCACTGCATATGTGCCCTTGTCACCCTGTCTCTCTCTCAGCTGGCTGAGCCGTAGCTCCTCTTACACCCGGCGCCTTCATAGTCAATCGGGGAATGATCTCACTAGTTCCACCCCCTCTTTGCTTCACAGGTCAGTCGTGCTACTCACCGCCCGTCCTGTGTCCGTTTGCTCTCTTGTTTGCGTGTGATTGTTTTTGCAGTGTCACAGCTTATTACGTTCCCCGAGCAGTGAATACTAATTATTTGTGTGTGGCTGTGAAAGATGCCTTTGTATTTCCAATGGGCTTTTGTCTTTCTAGCTCATCTTATGGAAAGAGACTGGATGACCCCACTGTGACCTCAGCTAGCACAGGAACAAGCTCTGCTGGACTCAGTCGCCTTAATAGTGTCTTGGCCCAGAGGTATTTCATTTTTATACTCATTTTCCAATTTGTTTTCCTCACTTATTTAAAGATCCGATAGCCACCTTTTAACTGTCTCCTTAAGACTTCCTCAGGAACAGACAGAAAAGAAGGATCACTTTGCCGTCACCACCTCCAACTCTCGAGACACGACCACAGGCGAACAGGAGACCAAGCAGAGGCGCAAGTGAGTCGGGGCTTTTTCTGAGTGTGTGTGTGGATGGCAAAAGGCCTGGTGTTTGTAAACTGCGGGCCTGATGCTGCTGCATTGAATCTAAAAGTGTGTGATTTGTGTAGATCGTATCTGACACCAGTGCGGGATGAGGAGGCAGAGGCACAGAGGAAGGCTCGCTCCCGACACGCACGGCAGTCCCGCCGCTCCACTCAAGTATAAACATCACCTGCTCACATATGAACCCTGATGGACTGTGTGTCTGCGTGGCACATGAGCTCATGTCATCTATATTATTTATTTGTTTTATCAAGGGGGTGACGCTAACGGATCTGCAGGAAGCAGAGAAGACGATGAAGACGGACAACAAAGGGAAAGAAAAGAAAGAAGAGGAAGAGAAGGAGAAAGAGAAGGAAGCAAAAGCAAAGAAGGGAGAGGAAGGGGTAAGAGCCATATTTCAGAGTTATAGGCCCACGTTGGTTGCTCTTATATAATGTCATATGACATCACATAGCAAGGGATGCTGTGTTTACAGGAAGTGAGCTGGAGGTCTCGTATTGCCAGTCTGCAGAAGTCTGACCTGCTGGGCCTGACGCAGCCCACTGGCGCTCCTCGGCCTCAGACAGCTGACAGGAGAGGTACGCATCACCACTTTCATTTTCTAAGAAAAAGAACTTGACAATGTGGCGTCGAAATATTTGATTTGCTCTTAAATCTGATCTGCTTCATTCCAGATGTTGAGGCCAGCACAGGGGAGAGTGAGACAGAGCGATGGGCCAGGGAGCGCAGAGAGAGGAGACAGGCTCGGGCCAGAAGGAAGGCACAGAGGACCGGGGAGGTAAACACTGGAAACATCTTTTTATCTGGATAATTGATTCAGGATGGAAGAAAATACAACTTCAGCAGGAGCAAATGCAAAAAGGGTAATAGTGCTGTAACTTGACTTGTGACCTGTCGTGCTGTCTGTGTCATTTACAGAGTGATGACAACGACCCCAGTGGAGAGGAGGAGTTCTCAGGCAGTGGGCTGGATCCACAGGTGTGTGTGTGTGTGTGCGTGTGTGTGTGTGTGTTTTCAGTCGACTCTAACCTGAGACTCTGGCCATAATTTTGTGCTTGTCTTCTCTGTTTACAGACAGTCCGACACTTGAGTTCAAGGTATGACTTCAACCTTTGACCTGTTTGATTTGCCGTCTGTCTTCATTCTGTCAGCACAGTCTCTGTGATAGCCGTATCTCTGACCTCTGCTCGTCTGCTCAGGTCGGACGTATCCTGTAACGACTGTACCCAGGGAGGAGGCACCGAGACCAAGGATTTTAAGAAGGTCAGCAGACAGAACTGATATTGAGGTCACAGAATTAGTTTTGTCTGTCCCAGTTATTTACTGTGTGTGTGTGTGTGTTAGTTGTTCGAGGAAGTTTCCAGAGAAAACAGTCAGCTCCAGTCGCAGCTGCAGGACACCCAGAGGATTGTCAGTCAGACCAAGTTGGACCTGGAAAAGGCCACACAGGTGACGCATGAACTGTTATTTTAAACAAATGCAAAGGGAAGCATCTTAAAGTGCTAAAACTGGTAATCGTACTGTGGTCAGTATTTAGATCTTTTTTTTCTTGGACTTCCTGTTTCTGTGTTCCTTTCTGGTGCTTTTCTCTTGTCATGCTGCTTTTCCAAGCCTCCTCATTATCCCAAATACTGTTTCTGAAGATAGAAATATATCATAGGTTTCCCTTCCAAATGTGAAGGAGAAA